GCTACTATGCCAAGTGTTTTGTGTTATATGATTATTGAGGTAAATTTCTATCTTAGGGAAATGGATTTTCTCAGGGGATTCTAACATTATATATCTTTCCAAAATTGAGGTTGCTGAACACCTACCTCTGACATTTTTAGTCTATAAGGCAATGAATGAGTATCAGATGTATTTAAGCAGGGTAACATCTAATGATCACTGGTTAACTATATACACTGACATACCACATACTCAATACTAGTGCAAAGGGCTTGAAGTTGCATTTTTCTCTAATATTTTTATACTTGCCAAAATAAAACTTCCAGTTGTATTATTAAAGAGTGCTATAGTATGTTTTTACATTTTACAAAAGACTCATTTTTCCTCCTTCTCCACTTCCATTATATTTATTAAATATAATATTTAGCTGTCATATTTATGGTATTATACCCTGTTGCTGCTTTCTTTAATATATAATTTTCTGATTTTTAAAATATACCTGATAAAACTTTTCTGACGTAGCTACAGTTCCCTTTTAGGCAATGCAGAACCCATAATTAAATACAGATGCTCTGGCACTTACTTCCTGTGGTCACGATAAATCAGTTTTATGAAGGTGCTTGAAATCCAGTTGAATGATTAGATACTCTAATGTGATTGATTTGACACCTTTTGTCATATCGAACATTGACTGAGATTTACTTACAGCTTCGTAATAGGTCATTTGAATTTTACATTTTTGGTTTAGATGGTATGTTCTATTGGACATCTGTGATACTTTGGAATATCCTCTTGAGAGCATCAGAAATTAAATGAATTCTATGATGTGTTGTCTGAAAAAAATCTTACCACCATCAAGAAGGTTGTTTCAGTATATGTTACAATCTCACAGACTCAATACTATCAGTAAATCACTGTCTATAGTAGTTTCTGAAAATAATTCCAAAAACTTAAAATTTTTTTTTCTTGAGTCAGTTTAACTGTCTATTTGAATATAATATTCATTTCTCTTCAGATAGCACATTGAATTTAGTCAGTATGGACACACTGGTTATTCTACTGTAAGATTCACAAGTGTGGGTATGTATTTGTACCATACTAGAGATATCAGCATAATATGTAGAACTTGCAAGTATTATATTACTACTCCTAGGATCCATCCAGTATATACACCATCTTCCATATACTAGAACTAGCAGTGAAGTTTGGACAATGTTCTTATTCACCATATTATGTTTTTAAATCAACCACAGAAAGAGAATGAAAATAAGTATATAGTATTATATATGAAACAGCCAAATTATATGTTAATAGAAAAAGGTTATAGGCAATCTGACTAGTAAAAGTAATACTTGCTTATTTCATTAAACCAGCCTGGGTTCTTTATTACTTAGTAATTCTTTCTTGGTAATCATTACTTAGTAATTTATTACATCTGATTCAGAAAAGCTTTGCCCTCTGATTTGTAACAGAAGTTGTCTTTGCTAGTATCATATAATGTTCTCTAGTTTAGCTATGTAACCTTTGCAATCCTAAAGAACATCTGTACTCATCTCCTCTGACTGCCATGCCAGCACACACTTTATTTTGAAATGAGTCAACAGTTAAATTCACAACCTTCTCTAAAATTCTGATGTGGAATTACTGCTTTACAGAGAATTCAAGCTGATCAGCTATTTTAATACTTCATTCAGTCTGCTTATTAATATACAGAACAACAATTATTTGACTACAATTAGAAAATGTATGGTCATTTAATGTAAAGAGCATTACCTTGTTTATATTTATGTTTATATCAGATAAAGTAATGAGAAATGAAGCAGAAAAATCATTATTTTTTACAAGCACATAAAAATGTGTTTTCATTTTAATTTGGGAAACCCTAGATCAGAGCTTTTCATGCTATTAGTGATGGGATGATGATGAATATTTGATAGGCTGCATGTCTCTACTGATACTAAACTGATACATTATGTTGTTGACTCATGGAAATTTATTCCACATTGTATTTTGAACCATTACTCTTATGTGCGAGACCAATTTGTCATGCTCTCTTTCACTGTTCTGTTAGGGTTAAGGCTTTTTTGCTAAACCCCAAGTGGAAGAGGAGTTTGCAACCATACTCACAAAATACTTGGTGGACAATAAACAAATAGAATCCCAGTGTTTGTGATTATATTGTACTTATTGTTTTCTTATCTCTTGTAGTCTTACAGCCTAATAATTTAAAAGTTCTAGTCAGGAGAGCAGCCGTATATGCCTTTACTCATCACATAAATCTCATCTCATATTCAAGTAAATACGATCCAACACGCATCCATGACATTTGCCAGAATTCAAGCATAGTGATAGACTACTTCCTTCTTAATGCTATGATTATTTTCTAGCCCTTATATACTCATAGTCTTATGACGAATCAGGATATTGTGATGAATGAGTCAAGAGGCAATAGATTGCTTATTCAGTTTCTTTCTCATTTTAGAGGAAAAAAAAAATCAATTTTCAATGCAGGTTGATGGAGTTCCTCGATGATTTGCACATGTTCCAAAATGACACAGTTCCTCATTTCTATCTTTAGCAAAATATAGTTTCCAGTTATTTTTTTCTTGACATCAAGGCCCTTAAAAGGATTAAACCCTCCCACAAGCAAACACCGAATAAACGAGCTTATGTATATAGTCCTCCATGCTTAGTGGCAGTGACTGATTCTTTATCATATCAGCATCCTCTAGAATGGAAGCACTGAAGTAAAGCTACAGGGCTGATTCTGGTCCTCTCTCCTTGATTTCTGTGGCCCTCGCATACATAATCTCCAATATCTTGTCAAAATACATTGCATAAGGTTTGCAGTAAAGTCTTCCTTTCTAACTGTTCTTTATTCTCAGCCTTACAGCATACATGTTCAGGTTGTAAGAAATAACAATCTGCAAGGCTTTGCAGCATGCCACCCACGATTATAAAATATTTTTCCCAACCAAATCATAAACATGTAGTTTAACCAAAAGGCATTCTAATTGTCATGCTATGTTGAGTATAAATATAAATTCAAGGCAGCCAAACTATCCATTTCCAAATAAGAATGTATACCTACACTCATTAAAAATCATCTGGAAATGTGTATTATTAGCAAATGAGTAAGAAATTTTCACTAGTATAAAATTCCTGCTTTATATAAAAGCCACACTGGCCATTCAAGTATTTGAGTTTTTTTTTTCCTATAGTTTTTGTCATTTGTACTGAAATGATGAATTTAGACTTGAAATTATATTAGAAGAAAATTAAAAGTCACTTCTACCTATAGGGCATTTTTAGAGTGTGCATGTAAAGAGCAAAGTGTCCATCTGCAGATCTGCCATTTCTTTTTCTCTCCACTCTAAGGAAACAGCTCAGGCTTACTCGGTTTTAGAGAATGATTACATTAACAATCCAATGCAGAAGCAACACCAGATTTCCTTCAGTTTGTGCCAGTTTGCAAGTTAAAGGTCAAAGGGCAAAGACATAGAACAGGACTCTTCAAGGAAAATTTTCACAGAAGACAATGTTTAAGTTGTTGTTAATGACAGTCAATAGATCAAAAAATCAAGTTCAAGGCAAGCTGTTCATTGTTTCAAAAGCTAATCCCCTCAAAGCTGGCTTTCACACAAAGCCAATGTCTGACTCATGGGGTGCGTTCATTCTGACCATCTCTAATAAGTTCACAGCCCAGTGGCTGTAAAGCCTTTCACTGCAAGAAGCAGCTCCTAAAAATCAATAAAGAGGTCTGTCAGTTGCTGACTTTTCTCTAGGAAAAAAATATTGATACAAACCTGCTCTGCAGGTCACATGAAAATGACAATACTGCTGTTAGGACAAATTACACTCAACAATGAAATGCTTTGGTGGTCTCTTGGCTCTGTCAGTGATCAAATGGATGGCCAAATGCCAGAAGCCACACTAACCCTTTGAGAACTATGGTGGACATGCGGTAAGTAATGCACTGGAGGCTACTCATGCAACCTCAGAGTCACCATTTTAATTCACTTTTAAAATGGCAATGCTAACTGCATATACCAAGGCAAATTAAATTTTCATGCAATGGATTTTAAAACAGAAACTCAATATGTTTAAGGGGAAAAAATGTCTTAAGACTGTTATAACCAGTTGTTCAAATAAAATTTCACTCTTATGAGATACTTAATAAAATACCTTTTTTATTTGCCAGAAAATTTTTGGCAAGGAACATCATTTCTGTTTGTTATAAATGCATTCATGTAGTACTGTTAAATCACTTAAAAATTACATGGGATTATAGGATATCTGTTTTAAAAACCTGAACTTCTTGAACTTGTGACTGTTTTCACCATTGCCCAGTTCTACAATTTACCAAATAGCAAGGCTGACAACCCTAAGACTCTGAAAGCTAATCTGATAGTTCTCAAAGGGTTACACCAATATATTACTGGTGTCACAAATCTTTGTTAAAAAAAAAACAAAACTGTCACTTTAATCCACTTCAGAGACATACTGCTTCTTGCTCTGCTTTATAATGAATATTCCTGACAGACCCATGGAAGGCCTGGGGCAATGGCCTAATACATCTTGGGAAGATTATTACAATGATGTAGGGGGGTAAGGTGGCAAGAAGGGGTTTAGAAACACTTCAAAACAATTAAAAGATCCTGTTCGAAAATAGCTATGAGTATAAATGTGATGAACATTGAGGACATAGCTGAGAACAGCTGTATAAAACGAAAAATGGATGTATTATTAAGGCTGTTACTATATTGCAGATATTTTGGCCCCTTGTTTGTTGGAAAATGGCTGTCCCAACAGTCTAAAGTCCTGCATGTGTATTCCAAATCTCCCACCTGACAAAATGGTGCGCAGGAGACTATCCATAGCAGTCAGAGAGCTATCTTCTTTGGAGACAAAGCTGTTTTGGGTCTTCACACCTTCCTGAAAGTTCAATTGTGGGTTTTTTGTTTAAACTTTTTTTTTTTTCTCCTTTGCTTTAAAGCAAAAAAATCGTGGGCTTTCTGATTTGCTTTTTTTTTCCCCCCAGAAATGGGCTCAGATTTCAGAAGGAAAATAATATTAGAAACCTTTAAGAAGAATCTTTTCTTCTTTTTTTTCCTCTTCTTTAGTTAATCCTGAAATTTTACTGGGCATTGAGCGTGCAGAGGAAAGGCCTAGAACTGAATGACAAAGAAAGACAAAGGACTGAAGAACAGCAGATACTGTGCATCATGGAAGCTTCCCCATGAGTGTATTTCCACTCATGTGCAGGACCAGAAACCCTCTGGGTTTGAAAGGTCAGCCCCGAATCAGGCTGCCACAAGCCTGCTCCTAGCTAGGAAACAGCATAACAGCTCTTGTCTTGAATCTCAAGTTACCACAAACTTCTGGAAAAGAAAGAAAGAAAAAAAACCCTACATCACACCCACTCTTGCATAGAGCGTTTACAGTACAGTATGTGGCGGGGTGTTCCTTTCCTCTTGAACTGGAACACAGTGTAAACCAATACAAGGAGGCATAAGGCCAAGATGCAGGGAATGACAATAGCTATGGCTTTCACAGTGCTGGCTGTGTTGTCCAGTTTGATGACAATGTCTACATCATCTGGTGGGCTGTGTCCTTCTTTAACTCTGTCTGTTGGTCCATCACAGCCCATAAAATCCTTGAGGATGGATCTTGGATATCCAGGTTCTACCTTGAGTATCTGGTTGTTGAATTTCCAATACTCCTTTCCTTTGTAGAAATACGTAAAGCCTGGGGGGAAAACACACACATACACACACAGGTACCACTTATTTGTGAACATGTATATGTAGAGAAATGTTACTACTAAAAAGATAGGCTACTTCTAAAAAGATATAGTTTAAGGACCTTTAATTTTCATAGGAAAAGAAATACTGTTCTCAGCTTAACTGTCTGCTGAAATGGCTCTGGCTGCTATGCTCCAGGACTGTGCCCTCTAATGTCTATGGAAAGCTCAGCCTAGAGAGAAATATTATTTACAAAGGATGGCTGAAAGACCGTACTATACACTTGTGGTCCCCAACGCGGTCCAGGCTGTGGATGGGTACCGGTCTGCGGCCTGTTAGGAACAGGGCTGCATGGCAGGAGGTGAATGGCGGTCTAATAAGCAAAACTTCATCTGTATTTACAGCCGCTCCCCATTGCTCACATCACCGCTTAAGCTCCGCCTCCTGTCAGATCAGTGGTGTCATTAGATTCTCATAGGAGCACGAACCCTACCATAAACCGCGCATGCAACGGATCTAGGTTGCATGCTCCTTATGAAAATCTAACGCCTGATGATCTGAAGTAGAGCTGAGGTGGTGATGCTAGCACTGCAGAGCGGCTGCAAATACAGATTATCATTAGCAGAGAGGTTTGATGCACAATAAATGTAGTGAGCTTGAATCATCCTGAAACCATTCCCCCCAAACCCAGGTTTGTGGAAAAATTCTCTTCCACGAAACAGGTCCCTGGTGCCAAAAAGGTTGGGGACTGCTGCTAGACACATCTACTGCTAGCCCGCACTAGAAAGAGAACTTTTCCTCACTTATAAGATTGCTGTTACAGAATTACACGTTAGTGTGATAATGATAATATCAGCCTATATTGAAAGAGGCTGACACAGCCTTATAAATCGAAACACTGTTTATTCTCAGGCTGCTTTTGAGGACATTGTTCAATACATTATAAAGAGGCTTCTCCATGAAACACCTCAAGGGAAATTTCTAATTATCTAAGTATCAGGAATCGTTGTGCTTCTCTTAAACAATAGGTTTCCTTTCATCGTTTGGACAAGAAATCATAATAAACCATAAATCTTAAAACTAAAGGTGTTTTCCATTGTCTGCTAGAAATCTTAACAAGTAAATAGGTACTCATGCTATTCTGTGCTCAAATACTGTTTTCAGCTCTACGTCATGAACATTTTGTTCCTTCTCTTTTTGTCCTTTTTAACTTTTTTTGTTTTTTGAGACTGAGTCTCACTCTGTTGCTGAGGCTGGACTGCAATGGTGTTAGCTCACCTGCAACTTCAAAATCCTGGCCTCAAGTGATTCTCCTGCCTCAATCTTCTGAGGTGCTAGTATTACAGGTGTGAGCCACTGTGCTTAGCCCTAACTTTCTTATTTACTTAGTTTATGTTAAATTTGTGCCACCTAGCTATATTTTATAGAACTTTGAAAGCCATTATCATTCCTTTTAGGAATAAAATAGAACATAAACACATATACAATTATATCTTTACTACTTCTGAGTAACTTATATTTCATGTGGGAGCAAGTGGTATGGGGGGTGCTCAAATAAATCATCAAAACATATAATTTATGTTCCAAAACATTATGGTTGTAGACCACAGACGTTGTAAGTGCCTGATAATTAAACCACAAATATGTGCGTTTTTCTTAAGACTATTCTCCCAATTTTATTGTATTTGTTAGGCACATAGCCATTGTTTTCTTTCTGTCCATAGCTCATTCATGTCAAGTTTCTTTGTGACTATAATGTTGGACTTAATTCTTACTTTGAGATAAAATTTAAAAAAAAATGTTTTACTGCTATAATTGCTTAAAAAGTATATTTTGGGAGTTATCTACTTAGGATAGAAGGCATAATTTAGAGTTTATAATCAGCAGTGTGGGTTATATTTTTTCCTGTTTTATTGAGGACTTACTATGGAAGAGGCATTGTGTAAAAGCTTAGTAGATACCCTCTCTTTTAATCCTCACAACTGCACTGTCAGGAAGAATTAATTACCTATTTTTCCAGGCAAAAATATTGAGGCTCAGAGATAAAATAATATGCTCAAGTCCTGGTAAATGCAATATTTAAATCTTGGCCTCGATCTAGAGCCTGAACACTTAATGATTTCCTAAGACTGGGCCCTTTAGAGACTCCTGTCTTGTATCAAATACTCCTAGGTTAAAAATTCAAGGTTGTAATAGATATCACCCTTGAAATGAAGAACTCTGAAATCTCTCTAAAAATTTCAGATAGGACAGACCAATCACTTCAGGTCACTTCATTTTGGAAATTATTCCGTTCAATGCCATAAAAATCTGCTGTTACTTTTTATTTAGAAGGACAGTTTTACAATCAGAGCAACTTGCCAAGCGGAAACAGGTGTATGTAGATTCAAGTTTTTCTGCAGGGAGCTGGTATTTGATCATGTTAATGAAATTCAACATAATTACAATATAAGCTTGGATGCAGAAATGCTGAAGGTCTGCCAAATAATAGTAAATTAGACAATCATGGTTGAATAATGGCACTGATCTAGAGTTAAACAGACCTTCAAAATAGGTGAATATACTTCTTATGCTTACAAACTGGAAACCAATAGCCAGAAGTGTCCTCATCTTTAACTTTTACCCAAAGCTAATTTCTATAAAGCTACTGGGTGTTACATGAAAGTTAGGAAGTTTCCATTTTCATATCAAACAGTTCTGAATGCCAAATTTTATAGTAATACACTCCATATAGACGAGTAGAATTGTAGTTATTCAATATACTTATCACAAATAAGAAATCTAGTTAGCAGGAGTTAGATAATGTATTTGAAAGGAAGTAGCTGAAATCTCGGTAATAGAAATATGGTAAGCCATGATCTGATGAAATCCATCTCATTCAATAATTTAGAGTTTTATTTCATTTATGAAATGTAAGCTAGTTGAAGAAATGTTTAGGTATCTGTATTTTTTTTTCCTTTTTAAAAGCAGCTTTGATATTGTATTTTTGTATATGTTATGCTTATGAAGAAGAGCAACTTCTGATGAATTCTGGCCTGAATTTTAATTTTTTGGAAAAATTCCGAGAAAGAAATCAGTGAAGTTGCCATGTATTATTTGATGATCTTTTTTTCTCTTACATTTGGCTGAATTTTACTGGTAACTTTTCTATTGCTTCAGCCTAAAAATGTAATGAGACATAATCCACCACAGCTATCTTCTTATAGCTTAGGCACTTGACAGCAGTACCTGTGTGTGCTGTTTTCCACTCTTAACATGCTTATTAGTAAGGTGCTAGTCTTTAATAAACGTGAATAAATAAACTGAATCTTGTGTAAATATTTGAATCATATGTGTAGATTTTAATAGAGTGACTATGGAGGTGGAGAATTAATACACCAAATCAATAAAACCAAGAGTCAAAACTGATTTAACATGCTGCAGTCAGTAAAATCAAATGCAACAGTGTTAAAAGCAAAACCTTGAATTCACCCTAAAATTATATTTGTAGAGAATATAGAATAACTGAGAGGTGTGGCTTTAGAGTAATTAATGTAAAAACAATTTGAAGGAGGGGGTGATTCTTTATCACTATTTTAGTGTGGTTAAAAACCCATGCTGTTGTTTAGAAAACACTGTTGAGTAAAGAGTGCTAAGAAGAAATCATCCCACCATATTCTGCATGAGTCACATCTCATTTGGATTATTGTAGTTATTTTGGGGAGTGGGGTAAAAGTAAAGAGTAAAAAAAGGCAAAAGATAAGGAGTAAAACAAGGAAACTATTACATTAAGATTACTATAACATTTCACCTACGTTATAGGTGAAAACCAGGAGGATGGCTTAGGAAGCTACCTTCTGAGAAAGCTTGGGTTTGCCTAGTATGTCTGACCACCTGGAAAATTTAGCCAGATATGACAGATTGTCAATATGTTATCAATAATAATGTACAAAAAATATATTAACTTTCCCTCTTTGGAGATAGTGTATCAGTCCACATTCATTGGAGCTAGAATGTTCTAGTTTCAAATCTTAGATGTATATTTTACTAATTTTATGGTCATAAATAATTCACTTAAATTAGCTTAAGTGTTGGTAAAGAGGCATTTTTGTAGGGTAAATTAGACAATTAATTTATGTAACACCTGATACTGGGTAGGCATTCAATGAATGGCACCAGCTAGTCATATTTCACTGGTCAAGATGGCAGAATTGCTATCAAGAGGTAGACATTATAGGCAGGCATATTTCACCTTAATATAAAAACATCCTTAAATTATCTATAGTTGAATTTTAAACTTGTGGATTTTTCTTTTTTCAAATAACCATTAGGAGAGGATTCCTGCAATTGTAGATTCCCACAATGGTGGTGAGCTACAGTATTTCATTTGTGGGCCACTATGACAGGGAATGTAGGACATCATTATGTATACAACAATACTCAAAAAGTAGTATTCGTACTTTGATTTTTCTAACTGGTATGCATTCACCCTGATTCTCAGTTGCTTTGAGTTTATACTCAGTGTGCAGTTTTCTTAAACTTGCAATAGGCTGATAGTCAATCATAGTTGTCAGTGCTGTCATGATTTTTCATTTTCACCCTATTTCTTTCTTCATTAATCTTTTTTTCTCTTTCCTGCCCCTAGATGCATTTAATTTTGTTCTTGCAAACAATACACTTATTTTGCCCTTGTTGAATATACATTATAGACTTTTTCATGTTATTGAGGAACCAAATAATATGCTATTTTCTTATGTCTCGTATTGTAAATCATTTGATAAGGTATGTTTTTTCTCTGTATTTCAGAATGATATCTCCTTCCTTTCCATTGTTCTGAAAAACAAACAATGTGTATAAATTCTACTTCAAATTGTTATTTTGATTTATTCCTATTTACTAAAACCTGAATGAGAAGAGATATGTTCACACTTTACATACATCATCAGATAGGGCAATATGGATTATCCATGGTTTGGTTAACTATCCACTCAGTGTCTAGCTGAATCTCAGATCCTGAGATATTGAGCAAGATTTTGTTTCCTGCTATTAAATGATCATACATGCACTCTAGTCTGACTGTACTGAGCTGGGATCTTCTTTGTTTGTTGACACTTTAAGCCAAATAATACATGAAAAATTGTAAAACTCAATATGCATTATTATCAGGTCTCTTTCTTCCTCAACCTGCACTTATCTTCCTTGTGACCAGTTCCTGTCCCACATATGTTTACTACTATCTTTGTAGAAATGTTAATAGAAATATAGGTGAGGTTACTTCAAAGGTATCCACAACCTCCATATTAAAATATTACCTGTATTTTTTTCTAATGATTTTTTAATAAACTAAGTTGATATTAAAAATATCTATAGCATAATGTTAAATGTAAATCTGGGAAGGAAAGTTTATATAAATATAATGCATAGCTCTAGTATGGCACTTCTCAATGATTTAATTTAACATAGTGAAAAGCCTAATGTGTTACTAAAATAGTTAGAAAGTTACGAAATGTGTAATGTAAATGTTGCATACCATTTTCTTTGTGCACAAATGCTCCCTGAGGAGATTCAGGGATCCCTTTCCAGACTGTGATTGGCTTGGGATAGCCAGGGTCCATGGTTTTCATTTCTTCACTATATCTCCAGTACCTAAAAAGGATAAAAACAACAACTCATGCATAGGGAAATAAATAATGCATACAAACAGTAATAGCTAACATTTATTAAATCTTTGCTGTGTGCTTAATACTGTTAGTTGCATATCTATTACTGACTTATAGAACACCGGTTGGGAAGCTCTGATTTAAATCACTAGAGAGACAATGGGCATAAAGCATTTACTTTGTTATTCTCTTGCATACATTAAAAGTGAGTATTTATTCAGTCTGCTAAACTAATAAAAATGCTAGCTAAATATATTTACAGTTCATAAGGGTATCACCCAACCTGTGTGTGTGTGTGTGTGTGTGTGTGTGTATCTGAGGTCTTCATGAGTTGTTTTTTTTTTCTAATCTTTCCTAGGCATTCAATTAATAAATGAATCAAAATTGTGCTTAAAATTATTTCCAAAAAATGTTCTGAAAATAATTTTAAGCACAATTTTGATTCATCTATTAATTCAGCAAATATTTACTGAATTCCTATTATATTCCTCACACTAGAGTTAACAACATTGAACAACACTGACACGGTGCAACTTTCATCAGTCTCATGTTTTTGGATATGTGGGGACATAGGTAATAAACCAATTTATCAATAAATACACACTATGATGGGAGGTGGTAAGAGCTATGAAGGAAACAAAGCAGATAAAGTTATTTAGGAATATGAAGAAGCCATTTTAAATTAGTGAACAGAGAGCTCCTCTCTGATACGTTGACATTTGAGCAGAGAATAGAGAGAAGTGAGGAACAATACATGCAGTCTTTGGGAGAAGAAAATTTCAGGCAGAGAAACTAGAAATTGAAAGTTCCTGTAGCAGGCACATGTTTAGAGTACTTGAGCATCTACAAGGAGGCTTGGGTGACTAGAGTTGAGTTAGTAATGGAGGGATAAGATCAGAGTGTGACCCAGAACCTAAGAATAGACAGACCTTTACACTTTGGTTTTCCACTAAGACATGTGAGAAGCCAATATATATTTTGAGCAGAGGAGCTTAAGGCTAAAGCTTATTGTTGAAAAGAAAACACTGGTTCCTGAGAGCAAAAGAGATTGAAGGGGATAATGTAGGAGCAGGGATACCAGTTGGGCTGTCTTTGCAATAATCCTCAGACTAGAAGTCAGCTATAGAGTTGACAATAATTCAAAGGATTTAAGATATATTTTAGAAGAAGAGCCCAAAGGCCTTACTAATGGATTGAATGTGGGATGTGAGAGCAAAGGAAGTTGAGTATGACTCAGGAATTTTGAGCCCGATCATCTGGAAGAATAATGTTGCCATTCAGTAAAATAGGGAAACAAGGGAAGGTAAGCTGAGTTGGTTTAGGGATCATGAGATTAGTGTTAGTTACTTTCAATTCAGACATAAATGTGGAGTTGTTGATGAGGTAATTTGGTATGTGAGTGCAGACTTTAGGGAAGATCTTAATTGGATTCCTCTATAGACAGTAAGACAAGTAAAAGCAAAGCTCGTCAAGAGCTAGAACTCTCAGGCTCCTATCCCTTCACTGGGAGGCCCTTAAGCCACTTTCGCAGAACTCCTAGACTTCCAAGTAACCAACTGTGAACATCCCTACTTTGGATCACTTCTCATTTATTGCACATACGGTCTAAGAGTAAAATGAGTCTATATCTTGAATGGTCTAAAAGACTGCACCACGCGGTGAAATCATTACGAGTTCACAGTGATACCACCCATTTTAGGGAAGGCCTAATGCTCTATGCATTGTCTTATTTAATCACAACAAATCCATGAGATAGATAGTCATCACTATTCCCCTTTGAGGGAGGAGAATTCTTGGAAGACAATGGATGATAGTAGTTGCATAATCAGATTTGCCTGATTTCAAAAGTATTTACTATTTCCACCATGAACACAGTTTACAAATTTATTTGACACTGCCAAATATGTTTTCCAAATTTATTTGACAATGCTTTTCCCCTCCACTAAACATTTACGACTATCTGCTAAAGCTAGTGTTTCACCAATACAGGTTTGTGAAATGACATAGTTTTTAAATTATCCTTGGATTAGCCATTTTTCCTGAAGTAAGGAAAAAAATAAGCATTTTTCAGTTTGAATATTTTCCTTTACCAGGTCTATGGAAGATCTTTTATCTTCAAAGCTGTGGGAACCTATACAGAAGGTTTTGCTTTAAATTCCTGGAAACCTCACTAGAGTAACAGTCTGGAATATTAGCACTTCTTTCATCTTCAATGTTCACATGGAAATCAGAAAAAGATTGTTTCAGGAAGTATTTTAATAAGTAATGCACAAGGAAGAGTTTATCCAAAAAGAGAAAATGTCACTGGTGTTTGCCACAGGTTCTCATCACATGAAAGATGAGAACAGATCTGATGGACAGATCAGGAATCACTTCGTGGAGAAGCAAAACTGCAGTAAAGGTGAGAGGGTCTATCTTTCTGAAGACAATGAAGCAGAATAATTAGCATATCAATTCTAAAATCTATTTTCTTTCACTTTTGGTTCATGCATATATCTGCTTTTAAATGATTTCTAATAGTCCTTTCCCACAGAACATTCTGTGATGAATACAGAATGGTTAATATAGTTGGGATTATGCTCAAAATCTCAAGATCTGGTCTCCTGAGTAAATATATCAATGCAGTTTACAGCAGTCATATATGTTAACAGCTTCTCACATTTGGTCAAAGAAAGTCTCTTACGAAGAGACTAAGAAATTCCTATTTTATGGATCCTAACGAACAATTTTTTTTTCTCACATTTTACCTACCTAAACATCAGAATGCACCTTACAATCGATACAGTGTCAATTTATTTGGTGGGGTTTTCTCTCAATAATAGAGTAATGATATATCTTACAATAAATGACACTTTTGAATGACATAAACTGTAACTTAAAGTGAGCTTTTAAATGCTTACCTGGAAGCTTGGAATAATTTAAAAGCCTGAGGAAAATGGGATCACATCCTGCATGTGATTTCAGTAACATTACTATATACAGAGAATCCAGGTTAGTTTTCTGAGAGGTAGTTATAATATTTTTCGTGTAATAATACCTATAGTTTATGTAGTGTTTTATAGCTATAACTTAAATTTATATACATAGATTATTTCATCTTATTTCACTTAAATCCCTCAACAATCTTTTATATTGTATAGTATGATGTTCTCTATGATGATATCCTAACCATAGATTTAGTATGTATGGTCACTCAATTTAATCAATGACAGAGTGTTAGGTATCATATTATTCAAAGATAAATGACTTAGTGACTTTTACTATGTTTGAATGTCATAGTGCTGAAATTCAAATGAACTCTCTTTGATTCACAGTTTGGTATGTTCCACCATGTTACTGGACTGCTATTGTCATTCTTCCTCTCTCGATGCTATCACTTAAACAACTCATGTTCATTGGGTATAGTTTTCCTTCCTCCCTTTTTCTATTCACTCATAGATCTATTCACCACCAATACTTTTTTGAGCACCTATATTATATACCAGACACAGAAGAATCAGAAGGAATGCATTTCAAGAAAATATTGATGGAATGTAAATTTTATTACACTCTCTTCTAGGAACATAATTCTGGTCTGAATTTGTCAAAATAAAAGCATTTTTCCTTCTTCTAGCAGATAATGGTAAATGATAACTTGGGATCATTTCACAAATTTTTAAAAACTCAACATAGGCTTGAACCCTCAGGTTGTCTGCTGTGTACTAATTTTACATATATCCAATAAACCTGAATGTCATTAGAATTATCTAACTATATTCAGTGCTGTCTTATAAAAGGTGCTGAGGCTTATTCATAAATATAAGTTTATATTTTAATTTCTGACATATAGGAATATGCTTCAGCATAAACAAAAAAGCTCATCCCACTGATTTTTTCCTCCCTGAAAAATAAGCTTATTGGTTCACTGAGAAGTAAATTAGCTTATACATATTGGAACACTGTGTAAATAAACTGAGGTGTTTACAATGTAGATATTATAGTGGAAAAAATTTGAAATTCTGTACAGAAAAGTCAGTAAATGATAAAAGCTATTATAAATGAAGCTTTTAACTTTTTCTTCTGTTTTATCAGTTTTGTCTACAGTAGAGTTTTGACTTTAATCAGATTTTTTTGAGAGAATCATTCTTAATGCTTCAAAATCTCATTCCACAGAAAGTTCTTAAAAATGCAACAGAATAGAAAATATCAATTTTTACTGTATTCTTGGATGATTTAAAAACATATACATTAAGTAATTACTTCATAAACACACAACTTAAGCTAGAGGAAATAAATGTATATTTTTCTATTTGACTATTAGTGATACTAATAAAAAATCCAAAATGGGTCTAAATTTTCTTATTTCTATTTGAGGATATCATAAAATTCTCAACAGTTAAGCTTACAATGAAATGTGGCAATAGAGTCTCAGATATATTTGTGAGAAGATGCTGAGAGATGATTTAGAAACATAGCATTTTAAGCTAAATGCTATGAAGATCAAAATGCATCCAAGTACCAAATTGTAGTGTATTAAGAAAAGGGCAAGTAGGAATCTGAGGCGTTGAGTTCCATGGTGTATATGAAACAGTGACAAAGTAGATATTTTAATCTGAATTTACAGATCTATTTAAAGGATCATCATTTCATCTACTCTCTTCAGCTATCTCTATACTTAGAAGATTTCCTGTGGGCCTCTGTTTTTAATACCATGTATATGTCAATACCTCTGAAATCTGTGTCTCCAACTGACCTCTCTTTCCACTGAGATGCAAACTCAATTATCCAGCTACCTACTTGACTTCTCCACTTGGTGTATAAATAGGCACCTCAATCTGAACATGGACTTTTCAATCTCTTAATCCCCTTTTCCCAATATTCCTTCCCCTGTCTACTCTATCCCCAGGACTGGCACTACCAACTTATTCAGGTGAAAAAACCTAGAAGTTGCCCTTAATTTGTTTTCTTTCTCTCCCCTAAATCCAAGCCATCAGAACAACTTGTTATGGTCACATTCAAAATGTCTCCTACACCCATCCACTTTGCCCACCTCTAGTGTCACCATTATGTCTTCCCATTCTCCCTCAGCAGCTTCCCAAAGCCCCTCCTTGCTTCTACTCCTGAAGTGCATTCTTCAAACAGAAGCCGGAATGATCTTTGTGGATACGCATAAGATCATGTCTCTTCCTTGCTGAAGACCCTCCAATGCCTTTCCACTGTGCTTAGAATAAAATCCATGGTAAATGATAACTTGGGATCATTTCACAAATTTTTAAAAACTCAACATAGGCTTGAACCCTCAGGTTGTCTGTTATGTACTAATTTTACATATATCCAATAAACCTGAATGTCATGGCCTATAGGGCCCTGTGTGTTCTGGTCCCTGTTTACCCATTTGACCTTGAACACCACTTAATCACTGTGTTGTTTTTTCTTCTGTCTTTGAACAATTCAACTTCATTCCTACACTACTGCCTTTGCACGACTATTTCATCTACATGTAGCACATTGTTCTGAATAGCTTCCTATTTCCTATTTCTGGCCAAAACTTCTCCCTGCTCAAGTCCTCACTGAGGTGTCTCCTTCACGAGGGAGGCCTTCCTGACTTCCACACTAAATTCCCAACCAGTCCTTACCACCATGAGTCTCTACCGTGTCATCACCTTGTTTTATTTCGTTGTAGCATTTCTCATTGTGAAAATTATCAGGGTCATTTATTCATTCAGGGTTCATTATTCATCTCCCCCAACAGAATCTAAGTGCTATGACAGCAGGAGCCTTGTAATCTTTTCTACTACTCTATCTTTATTACCTAGAACATGTCACATAGTTTGTGCTCAAAAATTAATTTTTGAATGAATGAATGAAGGCTAGGGCAAGACCTATGCAGAAATCTTAAGGAAGCAGGCATTAGAGTCAGTGAGAATGGAAAGGGTGGCCTCATGTTCACGCTGTCACTTCAGGCAGTTAGGCAGAGAGGGATGGATGTTGGTGGGCTGTAATTGAAGGTGTCTGGATTTTTGGTAAGAAGTGAACAACACGCAGGGCTGACATATGGCAGGAGTGGACCAAATCAAATGTAAAGATGTGTTTTGCTTGTCTAGCAAATTATTTTAAGTGAGCCTGATTTTGAATGCAAAATCTAGTGTTTGCAACTTTCCAGCTTACTGCAGTACCCATCACTCCCCATTGCCTTAGACACTTGCTCTACCCAGTAGTATATATGTTATTCACTCGATCCCTTTAAAACGGTTGAGTTTTTTACACTTGTACTAGATACTCTCTAAAATCCCATCTGCTTTTAGCCTTAGAGAAATAGAAAACCATTAACACAATTTATTTTCTTTTTTTAAAGCAGTGGGAGAAGAGAGAAGAAATAAGTAAGGAAAATAAATTCTCATATAAGTGACAACCGAATTGTTGTTTATATGTTTGAGTTAGATAATGTAATGTCTTTTCCATCTACTTTTAAATCTAGAATTAATCTATTGACAAATGCTGTGACTCTGGAATCATACAATGCTACAAATATGAAGTGATCTCTTTATAAAATATCAATAATTCATGACATCTTACATAAGATCCCATATATGGAAATTAACTGGAATCCTACTTTCAATATCTTTAAAACCTATAAAACCACAGTTATTTAAAAAGAACTTAAAAATAATAAAAGCATTTTTATACATTTTGCTATATTTGGCATGCAGCTTTTTGAGTAGGAAGCAAATGGACTAATAACACTTTTCCCACTTACTATAGTCTTTATTCTATTATAAATTTGATATCTAACTTCATTGATTTCACTGGTTTGAGGCAGCCCACATTTACTCTCTAAACTTAAATTTTCCAAAAAGTGATACATTTTTAGAATGGAAACGTTTTAGAAGTAATTGCTGCATATGTGGGAAATAGGGCTATCCGATAATGAAATGGCAGTTTCTATCATCATCTACGAAACTCTAATTAAAACTGTTAAATAAGCTTTCATTTTCTGTCCCCTAGCAACTAACTTCTCCAAAGCGACTCCTCAAACTCCCATTCCTACCTCTTTCTCAGGGGTGGGGAGAAAGGGGAGGGAGAAGTGCAACTCAGTATTGTACCTAGTCCTGAAAGAGTACATTCAAGCCATTAAAACCAGCTGGGGAATTTAACAACCTTAAGGGTTATAACATTTTAAAGAATATGTTACAAGTCTGCAGATTTATTTTATTAGTGGTCACTATGCTGTGGCAATAAAGTCCTTCAGTTTTCTCCTTTCAAATTCTATTACGCTTACATCCTGTTGAGTCATTATACATTTTGTGGTTGTAAGGGCATCTTTTCCTTTAACCAAATTTTTATTGGATATATCTTTTCTGCTTGTGATTTAGTAAGAAGCATTGTAGCCAAGCCCTAGCTTTATTACAGTGAATTAAAATCTATATTTTAATATGTAACTTTTTGCTTTAGAACTCTATAGAAATATGATGTATATAAAATTAGTTAATAATACATTTAAAAGTGTATATTCTTATCTATGGAGACCCATGACAGGTTCTTTTTGTTCACAGATAAAGCTCAATATTAGAAACAATTTGCAATTAAAAATTGTATATTTCAAAATAAACAGTCTATACCCTTACTTAGTTTTCTCTGGAAGTTGGAGACATTTTATAGGATCATTTTATGCTAATAAGGCAAATTCAGTACTAGCTTGTTGGACATTAAAGCCTGTTTTCTCTATGTGTGCATTTTTAAAAATTTACTTGTAAAAGGCAGTACAATGGCATACTTAATTTGTTCTATTATACAAACTAGTGAAGACTACTTAAGAGTTTCACATTGTGACTCAGCTAGTAATAGTGCAATTAAAATTTAATTTTTTAAATATTTATTACTTTTCTTGCTTAATGCTTATTTAAATTAATTAAAATATAGCCTTGAATTCACATATATTTTATAGGTAATATCTGTCAAAAAGTGAGCAGAGGTGGAGCTATGTATACCTAGTAGATAGTGTAAATTATAAGACTAATAATTCTCTTTCATTTTATTAACCCTGTTAGTAATGTCACAAAAGGAAAATAAAGTAAGAGAAAGTAAAATAGCTGGGAAGGAATATTATTCTTTAAGCTAAAAGTATTTAGCCCAGTGATAGTTTGGTTATATACAGTTTATAACATCTGCTTGCTGGTATCTAAATAAACAACCTCTCAAGAAATAGAACCCATGACTAAACTGAAATTATTTGAAAATGTTCACAAGTAACTGCATGCAAAGTATAAAAATTTAACTTTGAATATGAAAATACACACACAAAAAACCTGTGCTAAAAAGTTTCTTTTCCTAAATAAAGTAAAACTATAAGAAAATGCACTGCAAGGATATAAATATACAATGCTGACACAGCTTTATAGGCATGTTAAGATTATGGGGAGAGAAGAAAATATATACAATTCATCAGGAAGTCATATTAGTTGAGTACATTAGATGAAGATTTATTTAAATATTATTTAAAAATGTTTTAAAAATATTTTCAATTGCATTAATTCTTAGGTTTATATTAACACAGATTTTTCATCAACAGTACATGTCCATGACAGACTAGAAATCTTGACTACTGTAAACATCAGTTAACTGTTTTCCTCATGTGATGTGTGTACTGACCTGTCCCCCTTGAAGAAATAGGTTTTCCCAACGTCCTCCCACCAAATAGCTGAATCAATACCGTGAGGGGGAATTCCACTTCCAAGAGTAATCAAGTCATGAGGGTAACCAGGTTGAAGAGTTGTGTCCTTGAACACCCAATATTTGTTACCTGTATGAAATAAGTGCAAATGCAGAATATATTAATTTAATGTCAGAAATTAGAATATCTCTATTAACACAATGTATTTAAAATTATTATAAGTAAATTCTTGAAACAAGTTAGTAGCAGTCAATCCGGAATCTTGATGTTATTCTTGAAACATTAATGCTATTTTCAGAATTGGATACAATGAACGACTACTTAATAATACAACCAAAATTTGCGAGTTAGCTTAAAACATAAAATGAGTCTACAACTTAGCTATAAAGAAATAATTCTGAGACAAGGATTAAAGATTCTTCCCCTAGAAATTAAAGGCCGTATTTTTGTTCAAGGTTAAATTATTCCTGTGTTTTGTGCAACGTGTATGCCCTCAGATTGCTTTCATGATTATAACCTTTACTCTAGTGAAACACTTCCTCTGGGCTGATTCTTCCTTTTATTACATAAACGCTCACAGTCTCTCTAGCCTTATAAAGTCATCCTCCTTTGACCTCATGCCCTCTTTTAGCGGCAACACTATCCCTCTCTTCAAGAGTGGTAACTGAAGGGTGGAAAATTTTAACCCTAAATCTGTTCAGAATTTCTGGAGCACAATGAAAATACAAAGCAGACAGACTGCTAAAGTCTGACTAAAGTCAGTTTTATTGCTGTTTGACAATTCTCTGCAGACAGTACACTTCCTCAAGCCCTCCCTATGCCCCTTGCAGACTGCAACCTCCACGTCCCTCTTTGGTGTGCCTATCAAATAGCCTACAACCATTTCTCACTACGATGGAAGTTTCACATACCTAATGATCCACTTAAACCTTCTGTTCTGGAGTCACCAATGACCTCCAATTAAACAATTCTTTACCCTTATCAATTGACACAGTTGACCAGTCAAAGTACCTTCTTCCCTGAGCTGCAAGAAAATCATTTTCTTTTGGTTTCTCTCTTTGTTCTCTAGCTGCTCCTTTCCAGGCTTATTTTATTTTACTCAGTCCTTGAATGTTGATGACTTTATTCTCTGCTTTCTTCTTTTCTTATTCTAAATCTGGAGGTATAAAAAACTCAATACCTACAAGGGCTGGGTTAGGGATGATAGGAATGGAGTATCTCCACTGATATTGAGATACTTAGATAAAAATGGGTAAATATCCATTATCCTAAATGCCTATATTCCACCCCTCCCCTTCTCCTGGGCCTCCTGAATCTTTCTATGACAGCATCTTCTTGGATCACTAGCCCCTCCTGGGGTTAATAGCTAGCAGAGAAAGGTGCTTCTATGCCCTTTCTAATTGATGTAAGACCCTTACTTGTTTCTATAGTATTTCAAAACCATATCATAAGGACTATGATAAACTGTAGTAATCACGTAACACCTAAAGGTATTAAAACATTTTTAAACAATGGGCTGCCCTAAAATAACAACAAACAAACAAACAAAAAGACCCCACATCTTTAGGCTGAATTTAGTTAGGAGTCTCTAGATTGTAATCATGGGTAATCTCATTTACTCCAGGACCTTCTACCACCATTTGATATAATTTAAATTAAAACAACATTTATTAAATATCTTTAGCATCCCAAGTATCATATTAGGTATTAAGGATGCTAAAATGAACAAGACAGACCTGATCAATACACTGATCATTCCACATGCCAGCAGAAGAAACAGAGGAAAATAAAAAATCACATATGTAATGGTAGTAATTGACAAACGAGTGAATGCTGTGAAGAAAACACACCACAGGTAGAGAAACAGCAAATAAAGGGAACTTACTTTAAGGAAAAGGTCAAAGAAAACCTCTCTGATGAAATAAAATCTAAAGAAAAAGAAAAAATAGCTATGCCAAGAATGCCAGGATTGGCCACTGAATTGAAGGAATTATCAGTGGATTGTAATAAGCAGGGAAAGTGGAACTAAAAACCAGTATAATGGGTTTGATTCTTATTTTGAATGCACTGGGAAGTCATTAAAGAGATTAAATTAATGGAGGGGGGCCAGGCATGCTGGCTCATGCCTGTAATCCTAGCACTCTGGGAAGCTGAGGTGGGAGGATTGCTTAAAGTCAGGAGTTCAACAACAGCCTGAGCAAGAGTGAAACTCTGTCTCTACTAAAAGTAAAAATAAATTAGCCGGGTAAGGTGGCATGTCTGCAGTCCCAGCTACTTTGGAGGCTGAGGCAGGAGGATCCCTTGAACCCAGGAGTTTGAGGTTGCTGTGAGCTAGGCTGATGCCATGGCAACCTAGCTCAGGCAACAGAGTGAGTCTCTGTCTCAAAAAAAAAAACAAAAATAAAATAAGATAAAATTAATGGAGGAATGTGATTGTTTTTATATTTTCAAAAGATGGTTTTTGGTCTTTTGCGAAAAATGGATTATAAAGGGAAAAATGGAAATGAGAGGACCTGCCAAGGAACTTTTGCAAGAATTAATTAATCACTTGAATAATTCACGCAACCATTTACTTAGTAAATGTACCAGGCACTGCTATAGGCACTAGAGATATAGCAGTCAACAAGAAGCACACCATCTCTATCTCATGACGCTTAGATTCTAGTGAGTAGGTATGGGAAAATCAACCTCAAACAAGCAAACAAATAAATGAAGATAACTTCAAGGAGCAAAGTGTTATAAAAATAGAAAAAGAAAAAAAGGATAATAATGTGATAGGGATGGGATGGGGGCTACTCTATATTGGACACAAGAATGATTTTTCCATTCAATTGTGATTTATATAATTCAAAAAAGCCAGCCCAGTGCAGACTGTTTGAAGTGGAGGGAACATGGAGAATGAATGCCATGGGAAGAAGCTTATTGTGTGACAGGAGAGTGTGACAGGAATTTACAGTAGGAGAGTGTGACAGGAATTTACAGTAGGAGAGTGTGACAGGAATTTACAGTAAGGATAGAGCCAAGGATCATTTTGTACACTTTGTAGGAGTTTGAACTTGATTCTAAATGAAATAAAATGTCATTGAATAGTTAAATAAAAAAGGTCTTTGACAGTGGTTTGGACTAAAGCGGCAGAAACGGAGGTGGAAGAGAGAAAATGGAATCATGATATATTCTGGGGGTGGAATGGATTGGCAATGCTGAGGAATTCACTGAGGGGAATACGATAAAGATAATATCAACGATAATCCTCAAATTCTGGCTTGAGTAGATGGGAGAATAATGGTGTTATTTAATAAGATAAAGAGGATTGGAGGTGGCTTGAGCCATTGGGGGTTTAAATCAGGAGTCTGAGATGTCAGGGAGATGTTGATATAAAGATGTCACTTAGGCAACTGGATATGTCAATTTGAAGGTAACAGTTTGTAAGATACAAGCATAAATGTGGTATTTACTAATTTAGGAGCTGACGAGATTATCCTGAGAAGAGAGTATACAGATAAGATAAAGAGAAACCAGAACCAGGCTTTTAGAAACCTGTGACCTTTGCAAAATATCACATAAAGGAAGAAGGAAGAAGAATCAAGTGAGGAGGAGGAACAAGAGGCAGTACTGAGAGTGAAGTAAAAGAAAACTTCAGAAGCCAAACAGAAAGTAGAGTGGTCATAAATGGACATTTCTAGTCCAATATCTCTTGAATGCCAAACAATATGTATATATAGTTACCTACTGGGATTTTCTACAAAGTTGACTCAAACTCCGAATTTGAACTCATCCTAAACACCTTTCTTCTTATTTGCCTTTTTTGGGTAGATGGCATACTATTCTGTGGCTCACATCAGAAAACTTTCTGTTCATTATTTTTCATACTTAATGGATCATTACATTCAGATGATTTGAACTCCTAACTATCATTTGAACCTGCCCCCTGAAGTCTATTCTTATTGCCACTGGTACTAGTGATGTCTTTCCATCATCCCTTCTAAAGGGAACTGCTTTGTCCACAAGCCTACGGCAGGTCTCAGTGGTCTCTGTAACCTCTCTCAATACTCCAAGCCTAGAGCCAGTCAAAATGCTGCAGAGGAAGCTCTGGAGAGAAGGCTTGGTCAGATGAGCAAGGTGGGCAGAGCTATCCATGTCTCTCTTGGGAATATGAGCCAGGGAATACCGAGAGACTTTCCCACTCAGCAGCAGGAATTGACTATGCATTAGACATTGACTATGCTTTATATACTGACTATGCATGAGGCCTGAGAAGCCATGATGACCACAGGCAGGCAGACGCTATGAGGAGGTAGAAACTGAATAAATAAACAGAGGTGGGCTGAAAAAGAAAATAGAATGCAAAGAACAAAGTAGATGCAGAGTGCAGAGCAATGAATGGAGGAGAAACCAGAGGCCCATTAGAGAGACAGCAAGGGTAGCCAGTTCCTGAGCCGTATGCATGCCTGCTACATACCCACTCCTTACCATAAGTTCCCCAAAGCTCAACTGACCTGATTTGGTTTATTTTTTTTTAACTGAACGAGACTGTTCAATATAAATTTGTGAACATCCAAACATCAAGTGAGATATGTGAGCCTGAGTCTGTTGGCCAGAGTCCTGGCTTTTAGCCAATGTGCCATGCTGTCTTCCGGCCATGTGCCTTCAGGGTTATCCTTTTATTTTCTAGCTTGCATTATCCCAACAGTTTTCTTTCTTGTCTTCCTGACTCCAGTTTGTTTCCCTTCTATCTAACTTCCACAAGGTCATCATGAAAGGGATTTCCTTAAAATGCATCCTTGAGTTCTGCCTCTCTTTTGTTTAAATTTTTCAGTGGTTTTTTATTGCATTCAGGATGAAGCCCAAATACATTCATATGTCATTTCAAGTTTCCTTTCGATATGGGTCTCTTCTCTAATCTACATTCCATTTATCTCCCTTTCTGAAAAACTAGGATAACTCTTTCAAGACTTAGCTTGCATTTCTCTGGAAAGAATGTCCTATATGAGTGAGGTGGGCATCTTATATTGCCGGAGTACCTGGTCTTTACCTTTATCATATCACTTAGTACATTACACTTTAATGAATGACAAGCCTGCCACCCACTCTAGGCTGTGAGCAACTTGAGGGAAGTCATCATATCAAAC